CAAAAAAACCCAAAACAACAAAACCCACCCACCCCACCCCGAAACTGAAGTCCAGTTCTGGGCCCTGGTGTGCATTTTAAGGACGAGTCACTTCCCTTTAGGCAAAGCAGGTCCTGTGTCACTGAACTGCTCAGTACACAGATTTCTTGTAAACCTCAGCTATTCGGGTCACATTCTTGGTTGGTGTTGGAATAAGAATTTCAGGTAAAACAGATTGATATCTGCGTGCTGGTGGGATTTTATTTGGGAGATCATGGATGGCCTTCAGCTTTGACGATCAAATTTAACCAGGAGTCTAAATGAGAACTAGAAATACCTTTTTTTTTCCTTCCCCTTTGACCAGCTCCCCGGTTTTTAAGTGCATTGGCCTGGATACTCCTCGTGCCTCTCTTGTCACAGCTAGGTCAAGGAGACCTTGCGGGATTGAAGGCAGGTTGATGAAGAGCAAGGAGAGATTTCCTTTATAAACTTGTGGCCTTTGTTCTGAGCTGGATCAGCGTGATTCACGTTCATGTCCGTGTTTCAATCCTGGAAAGTGTCCCACATCTCTAATCCTGGATCAAGGGCTTTCGGGGAGGATGGCGTGGTAGGCTGGTCCTCCGTCGCTGGGAATGACTCTCAGGGGTCATCTCGTTTTCTAGGGCTGCTGAATTCTTCTGCAGACTTCAAGTCCTGCACGATTTACTCTTGGCTCTGCAGAGCTCGTAATCAGAGAGAGGCCTGGGTCTCTGCTGGTGGGGTAGGTGGGTGTTGAGAGCTCAGCTGTGCCTGTGATGGCTGCTGCTGTGGTTCCTGGGTTCACACATAAATGAAATCTGAACACAGTCTGCTAACAGCTGTTCTCAGTCTGTAGGAAAACCAAATGCTGAGACTGAACTACTTAACCTGAAGCTGCTTTTTCTTCCAGGGAAATGCTGCAGGAGATTAAAAGCCTTGTCATTGAGGAGTCAAAGTATTGTCTAGATGTTCTCTCCACCTGGAGAAACGTTTATGGGCACGAGGGGAAGAAAGACAACGTCTCTCCAGAAGGTTGATTGCCTCTGAAGAGGAAATCAGAAGAAGAGACAAATACTGCAACGGAAAGGCAGAAAACAGAACAAGTGAGAGAGCCTGTGTCTGAGGAATGTCGAATGGAAGCTGGAGAGAGGTGTGTGGTACCGGAGAGAAAGAGTGATCAGGACTGCCGGACTGAAAAGAAGACTTCCTTAGAAGACCCTTCCAAAAGCAATGGGGAGAAACCTGTTGTGAATGGGCAGCTTAGCTTCAGTTTCAGAGTTTCTTGCCGTTGTAGTGGAGCGATTGCCAGACTACTTCCTTCACAGGTATGCTATATGCTAAAGTATCTATGTTTTAGAAGAAGTTAGCGAAGGTGAAGAGAGATGTGTAGTTTATTTGTCGTTTCAGTTGTGCGTTGTCTGTTTCAGAACAGCAAACGGATTGAAGCTTTTGCTGTATTTTCTCAGAAGAGCCCTTAACCTGCATTTACCTTAAACAAGTAGAAATACAAGGGCTGTTGTTAATTTGTGGGCACTGTTACCCTGAATATTTTTCAAATCAATGCCCGTTATTGTGGATAAGTAAAGGCAAGAGGTTGAGGTAGCTGGGCTTTTGGAGCCTGAGGAGTGATCTGATAGTGGTTTACAGCTGCTTCAAGGGCCATTGCAAAGATAATGGAGCCAGACTCTTCTCAGTTGTGGCAGACAGTGCAGAAGATGGGGCAAAAGACAGAATTTGCAGCTTTGCTGTGCTCTAGTTGGGTAATGGGGAGAACTTGTTCCCCAGGAGGGTGGTGCAGCCCTGGGAGGTGTCCTGGGGGTGGATCTTGGTCCCTGGGAGAGGGTGATGGCACAGAGACCTCTAGGGGCCCTTTCCATGCAGCAATCTTCCCATCTACAATATCTTTCTACTGTGAGGAAAATAAAAAAAAAATCAAAAAGAAACCCTGTGTAGCTGCAATTTATGCAGGTTTCTCTTACTTGAAGATAACAGTAGCTTAGCTAGATATTTCTTTTTTTCCTGCTAAAGCTAGTGCCTTGGGAAGGTGAGACACATCAGCCTGCCAACATGAATGTTTGGTTAAATTTGTGCTGTTCGTTTGAACTCTTATACTCTGAAGGTGTTCAGAGCTTTCTAGATGCCATAAAAGCATTAAAACTGTGAGTTGCAGTTATGCATTCACAAGTTTGCTCTTAGGTTATCTAGTTTACAGTTTACATTTTGTGCGTGATATACAATTCTAAAATGAGGACAACTTTTGTTGTAGCTTGGGCAGCACTTGAACTTCAGGCTCCCGCACTCGAGCCGAGTGATAGTCATTTTGTCCTGCCGTGCGTCTGCTCTGCCCCTCGCTCGCTTGCTGTGCCCTGTGGTGCCTCTTCTGGTCTTTGTACAAACTGTTCTTGTAGGGGTGAAAGAGACCCTTTCTTTCCCCAGGTATTTATGAGGATTATGCAGTCAAGGCTGTGATCTGTAGTTTTCTTAATCCCGTTATTTCTACTGCCTGTGACTGTTCTCCCCCCTTGCAGGAGATGGGAAGAGCCGTTGGCGTAGCACTCATGAAGCAGTGTGGGTGGCGGGCTGACCTGCGGGACCCCGATCTGGAGGTCGTGGTGCTCGTCTGCTGGACGGCCTGTGGCTGCTTCCAGAGTTGTCCCTGACATCTTTTGCTGTGTGTTCTTCTCCCTTTGCACGTGGGACCGTGGCCTCTCCCTGTTTGTCTTTCTGCCGCTGAGTTTAGCTAGAAATGATCTGGTAGCAGTGAGCAAAGCTTTGTGGTAGCCACTGTGGGTGTGCTGTCCAGAGCCCTTAAATACCAGACCGCCCAGCATGGGCCTGTACGAGAGGGGCAGGATCCACACAGGCGATGTCTTGGGATCCGGCCCGCTTGTGGACTGCTGGGCTCCGTTGAAAACGGAGATCGCCTGAGCCCTTGGGCAGCTGGTTCAGCCTCTGTAGGGAAAAGGCCATGTTCTCGAGGAACTGGACTTGAGAATGCCCTTCATGGGAGAGCCTCTTCCTAGACCCTCTCCCTGACAAGGAGCTTGCTTAAGGAGCCCTCCATGGTGCAAAGCTGTCTGGAGACCTTGGAGAGGACTGGCTGCTCATGACAAGCTGTTTCTCCATGCCTGTGCTTGGCATATGGAAGCTGCTCTCAGCGCTGATGCTACGGCCTTCTGTGGAAGCTCTGAGTTCATCCACTGGCTCCAGTTTTCCTGGGCTCTGCATCAAATACGGCTTTGTTGAGCCTGAAGTGGGGCTCTTGTTCTTGTCCACATTTTTGTTCTGAAACCATTCAGGTGCTGAAGACTGGGATATTTCAAAAGCATCATGTTTCTCTGTGGGCTTCCCAGGGAGGGACTGCGGTCATGCAAGACCTGCTGGGGACATA